GTATTGAGAAAATAAAACATGCACTGGATTCTCTATCAGCTGACAATGAACAGCAAGTGAATACAAGGCGAGAGGCAGAAGGATTGAACAAAAATTTTTAAAACCTGGCAACAATCTTTCTCACAATTCTTTGGAATGGCATGCCAGAAAGAATGAACAAATCAAACAAGGTCCTGCAATCAAACGATGTGAACATCCTTGTTGCCACGAATCTTCTTGAGTCAATGAAAATCTATCTTCACGAAACTGGAGACAAATTTACTGAATATGAATTCAAAGCCAGGATCATGTGTCCAAATATAGATTAGAGTCGGCCGAGCGAACAGCACGCTGGACTTGTGATCCTGTGGTCCCGGGTTCGATCCCGGGCGCCGGAGAGAAACAATGGGCAGAGTTTCTTTCATCCTATGCCCCTGTTACCTAGCAGTAAAATAGGTACCTGGGTGTTAGTCAGCTGTCACGGGCTGCTTCCTGGGGGTGGAGGCCTGGTCGAGGACCGGGCCGCGGGGACACTAAAGCCCCGAAATCATCTCAAGATAACCTCAAGAATCTCAAGCACTACTTGGCTCTTGATGAATATTGTGTGACTCTCCCTGCACTGTACAGGAAAATAATTTCGGAGAATTTTAAATCTGTATTCCCGAATGTTGACATTTGCACACGGAGTGTTCATGTGCATGATGGTGACCAACTGTACAGGAGAACGTTCTTTTTCAAGACTGAAACTAATAGAAAAATTTGCTTCGTAGCTCAATAGGGCAGCATCTTTTGAACTGGCTTTCACTCCTGTGCATGGAAAATGACATCTTGAAGACCAGTGACTTGAAGCCAATAATAAAACAATTCTCTGAAAAGAAATGCCGCAAATGCTTGTTATAATAAGAAATTCGTAGTAATTTCATACTTTTCCATCTAATCTGTGTAGCTTACTGAGTATTATTGTGCTTTTCAAGCCTTGTGTATTGTTCAAATGTTTATCATGTTGCTTAGTTGCTGCTATACAGCATGTTTGTAATGTTTTAACATTACAAACATCTTATCATGAGGTTATCTTGAGATGATTTCGGGGCTTTTTAGTGTCCCCGCGGCCCGGTCCTCGACCAGGCCTCCACCCTCAGGAAGCAGCCCGTGACAGCTGACTAACACCCAGGTACCTATTTTACTGCTAGGTAACAGGGGCATAGGGTGAAAGAAACTCTGCCCATTGTTTCTCGCCGGCGCCTGGCATCTAACCCAGGACCACAGGATCACAAGTCCAGCGTGCTGTCCGCTCGGCCGACCGGCTCCCATGCTGTAAAGCATTGTTTATGACATTGATTATGTTGAAGTATCAATAAAATAAATATATGTTTAAAATGGTCGCCCATTTACTATTTTATTCCTGTGAGTGGTTGTGATAGGGGCCCCAGCACACTGGTTTGCCCAGGGGCCCACAATGTTGTTAAGACTGTCCGGCACTTTTCTTTTCTTCAGTAGGCACTTCCTTGGGTAATGAGATCTTCAGAATCAGAGATTGGGCTGCTCCACTATCTCTGAGAATTACTACTGACCTGCCACACTAGTCACTCGATTCATATCCTTTCGAAGTATATGGGGCAAACAATCGTGGTTTCTCCCACCTGCCTGTCCATAGGGAGCGGGTTTCCACTGGTGGTGTCACACAACTCCCCAACATAATTTCCCTATGCAGGTCGTTACCTGCCCTGCTCTTTCACTTAGCAGACACTTTTCCTGTCTTCCCACGCACTATGTCTCTCCTTGGACTTGTTCGTCGTGGACTACCTGGGGTTTTCTTCACGGTATCATGTGGGACGCGGTTCTCTGCTCCTGCTTATACTTGATAAAAGATTTTGAGAAGGTCTTTAAAACATACCTTACCGAGTCTATGGGTTAAAAATATATTCTTCAGTCATGGTGGCTGCAGCACCAGCATCATGGTGGCTACTTGCTGTTCTTCCAAGTACGTTTTCAGATCACCTGATGGACACTCCTTGAAGTATTCCAACAGGATAAGTTGTTGCAGCTGCTCCTTAGTCTCAACCTTCCGTGACGCGTAACAATCGAAGAATAATCATTCTTTAATGCAAGCGAATTCCATATAAGTGAGCTTAGCTGTTTTCTTAAAGTTACAAAAATTCTAACTATATGCTTCAGGCACCAACTGGTAAGCCATCATCACAACCTTCTTGACCGCGTCATAGTCACTCGAGTCACTTACTGACAGTGTGGAGTACGCTGTTTGGGCTTTCCCAGTCAGCACTGATTGAAACATAATAGCCCAAAAGTCCCTCGGCCAGTCCAATGAGGCAGCTACCCTCTTGAAGGCAGCAAAGAACTTTAACATCTCCTTCTCATTGAATTTAGGCACCATTTTTTTTTTATTCCGCACTAAGTCAAAACTACTTGATTCCCTTCTCCCACCTAATATTAGCGCTTCCAATTCGTGTTGTCTTTCTTTCTCTCCTGTCTTGTCTTTCTCTCTCCCATTCTTGTCTTTTTCTCTCCCTGTCTACTCTTTCTCTCTCTCTCTTTCCTGTTCTATTTTTTAAAATTCAATTTCATGTTTTTTTTTCAATTTCTTTCTCTTTCCTTTCTCTCCTTTCTTCTCTTTCTAATTCTGACCTTTTCCATGCGATTTCACGATTTATTTCTAATTCTCGAATTTTTACTGTCAATAGGCTCACATTTAGTTCACCTGGGTCACTCTCCCCACACTTTCCTGGGCATACTTGTCAGTAGAATCCAGAGCTAGTGTTGATAAGCGGCTACCACCTAGAATTAAAAGTGAGAGAAGGTGGTTCAAGACTAGAGGTCCTGTCGGAAGTGTGTAGACATTTAAAAAACAGACGGTAAACAGGAAAGTGTAGTCCATAACAAAGTAGCGAGTGTCACTCGCTACTTTGTTATGGTTACACTTGCCACCCAAGATTACACTCGCCACCCAAGGTTACACTCGCCACCCAAGGTTACACTCGCCACCCAAGATTAGACTCGCCACCCAAGATTAGACTCGCCACCCAAGGTTACACTCGCCACCCAAGGTTACACTCGCCACCCAAGATTACACTCGCCACCCAAGGTTACACTCGCCACCCAAGATTACACTCGCCACCCAAGATTAGACTCGCCACCCAAGATTAGACTCGCCACCCAAGATTACACTCGCCACCCACGATTACACTCGCCACCCAAGATTACACTCGCCACCCAAGGTTACACTCGCCACCCAAGATTACACTCGCCACCCAAGGTTACACTCGCCACCCAAGATTACACTCGCCACCCAAGATTAGACTCGCCACCCAAGATTAGACTCGCCACCCAAGATTACGCTCGCCACACAAGATTAGACTCGCCACCCAAGATTACACTCGCCACCCAAGATTACACTCGCCACCCAAGATTACACTCGCCACCCAAGATTACACTCGCCACCCAAGATTACACTCGCCACCCAAGATTACACTCGCCACCCAAGATTACACTCGCCACCCAAGATTACACTCGCCACCCAAGATTACACTCGCCACCCAAGATTACACTCGCCACAAAAACTGAGATTCACTCCTTGGTCACATCATCAATTGCACTTGAGACTAACCCCATCCCCCACAACTTTTTTCTTATCTTTTATCAGTTTATACAACAAATCACACATTCTAGGCATTCTTATACAAGTTTTTGCTTCCTTTATCCACACGTTATTTCTCCAACTCTGTTGCTCCGAGATCACAATCAACTCCATTCTCGTGCTCCTTGACCAACTGCGTTTCCCTCAACATATCAACTTTTAGTATTATAACTCTTGAATCTATATGAGACACAGTTCTCCTATACCATCAAATCTAATGTTAGAGTGAAAAATCCTGTGATCAGACTAACCTCCAGATATTCCATTGACTGATTTTCTTGACTTAAACATAGTGTAACAAGATCATGTCACTCACCCTGTAACATGTAAGCTTTAATACATTCGTTTTGTCACGTTTTCTTAAACCTGATGCCTTGGTTCACCTAGTAGTAAATAGGTATCTCGTGGTTAGAAGACAGTTTTGAGTAGCATCCTTGGGAAGATTAGTCATGGCCAAAGCGAACTGCCATAAGCCAATTAAGCTTCCTGTTCAAGGCAGTTGTACAGACTTTTTCTTGCTGTATCATTCATTTTATAATGTCTTGTTATTAAACGTATCTGATTTTGTAAATTACCCAAGAAACAAGGCTTTTTCTCAGTCACTGCAACCATTTTTACCTTTTCAAATTGTATGATCAAGCACTTTGAACTGCAACATGAGTAATCATTTATTGCAGTCACTTCCACGGTTAACAAGTATACATTTTCATTATTCCTACTTTCTTTCCCAAATTATGTAATATTTACCTTATTTCATCCATCATTTTGATCTTCGTTTTATATAAATCTATTACATCAAACTCTTCTCCCATAGGTACCACACAGCCAAACTATTTCATTTTCGTTTTCTGGGGCATGACTCCGTGTGATCTCCAGGTCCCAGACCACATTTTATCCATTATGGGAAGAATTTAGAAAGATGGGTCATCAGCTTAGTTGGTTCAGTGTTGGCTTTAAGGCCTATCGAGCTCAGAAGGGTTATTAAAATCACAAATTTAACTTTCAGAACAACCCAGTCAGTATGTTTTATTCCCGAATTAAACTAAATGCTCAGTGTGTATGCACTGAGCTGACGAATACACCCGTCGGTACACGGGGGGGAGTATTCGTCACATACTCCTATATTCGGTACACATACTCCTGTGTCCCCAGCTCAATCTCCCCCACACTTGCACTACAGTTTAAGCGAGAATGATTGCAGTATTTAGTGATGGGTGGCGGGATCTCACGTCCCTATGACTATTGTGATAATATCAACATATTAAAAGTAATACTCAATTATTGAAGCAATATAATAAAAACGTCTCCAAGGTTCAAGTGCAATATGAAACTAGGAAAGGTTTCATCTATATTAGGATGGTTCCGTTACCTTTATGAGCATGAGTGGCGCTGTGGTGTTCGTCTCCAGGATGTTGTTGACCATCTGCGGCTCCAGTTGCTCCAGGGGAACACCAAACACCTGTGAGGAGCATGTGTCTATGATGGCAGCATTGTTGATGAGCACATTGAGACCTCCGGCTCCTACAGCCTCCTGCACCTGGGCCACCAACCCCGGCAGACTCTCGTAATCCACCACATCTGTGTGACAATTATTGATGAAAAGAAACATTGTTATGAGGATCAATGTATATATATTGTGACGATAATCTCCTTCAAGAGATTGAGCCTGCTCTTCCCTCCATAATTACGTCGTCGAAATTATATAAAACGACTATGGAAGACATGTCCAACAAGGACAACAACACCAGCAAGGCTTGCAGGGTGAGCAAAACGTATGCGGCCAGCCACCTGTTCGGACTCAAACCACCAAACTACATGTTGATCGCTACCGGCTCCGCTGATTGGTCGCCGGTCTGGCTGCACCTGCACTCGCCCCCCCATACTACTTGATGTCTGGGGTCGCCCCAACTTCAGACCTCAGAATGTTCAGTGCTCTCGTGGTCACCACTCCTCCCGGCTAGACGCTAGCGTGTACTGAGAGAAGTGGTGGCTTTAAGCCAATATTCCAACACCTCCCATTTACTTTGTATTGCACTTCTTGTTATTCTGCCTTAACGTAACTTTTCATTGTGTCATCTAATTATTCTTATTATTTTGATGGATTGATTTTATTATAAGAATTTGTTTGTGCATTTTATTCATGTTTTGATTTATTTAACGTAATTAAAATTTCATTGTTAAAGTTTACTTGTGTTTTGTGTGTCTTCTCCTTACCTTACCACAGACGAAGTTCCAGTTTTCTATTTTTTTTTATAACTATGTGACGAGGCCATACCCCTAGCCTTAAACAGCCGAACACCAACGCGTTACCGTCACAATATATATATATATATATATATATATATATATATATATATATATATATATATATATTGGAATCACACTCGGTTCTAATTGGAATAACTTTGATCAGGAAATTAATTTTCTTGTGAATTTTTTTTCAAATAATGGTTATCCTGTGCATATGGTTTATACTTTTATAAGGAATTTCTTAAATAAGAAGTTTCATCCATCGTGTAGGATTACTACAGTGGAAAGGGATCTTAAATATATTAAATTACCATTTTATGGCAGTATTAGCTTTTCTGTAAGGAGTCGTTTGAGGAGACTGTTGCAGCAGTGTTATCCTCAAGTAGACTTTAGATTTATTTTTGTCAACACAAATACCATAGGCTCTTATTTTAAATTTAAAGATAAAGTGCCTATCCCCTTGTGCTCAAATGTCGTATATATGTATAATTGTTCCAGCTGTAATGCTGGATATGTCGGGAGTTCCATTCGGAACTTTAAGATTAGGATACTTGAGCACCGGGGATTATCTTTTAGGACTGGATTACCATTGTCTAAACCAGCATTTTCGGAGATTAGAAACCATTGTTATGAGTTTGATCATTCTCTGCTGGAATCTGATTTTAAAATTCTGGACACTTGTATGAATGGCCAGTCAGATTTGAGAATAATGGAATCCTTATATATAAAGGAACTGCGGCCTCTGTTAAATAGCAACCTTTCAGCTGTCCAATTGTACACTGTATAATGCAAAGTAGGCCCTGTAATTTGATTTTTAGTTTATTTTGGTAGTTTAATTTTGTTTAGTTTACCATGTCCTTGCCCTTTCTTACTTATTTCAAGTCTTAACATTGTACATTAATATAATCTTCTATGTAGGATATATAATACATTTTTGGTATTTAATTTTATTTAATATTTGAGTTTTTTTATAAGATTTTGGTTAGCACTTTGTAATTGTCGTTTATTCTGTTTGTATTTTACATACATTTTTTGTAGATTTGTAGACATTATATAAATATATAAATATATATATATATATATATATATATATATATATATATATATGTTCTTGTCTTGTCCTTACTCTCATGGTGGGTAGAGTAAATAGTTCCGTGATTTGGGTGTTCATGGTAGGTCGCTCTATTCTTATGTGAATTGCCTCAAGAATTTGTAATCTTGCCACCCAAGATTACACTCGCCACCCAAGGTTACACTCGCCACCCAAGGTTACACTTGCCACCCAATATTACACTCGCCACCCAAGATTACACTCGCCACCCAAGATTACACTCGCCACCCAAGATTAGACTCGCCACTCAAGATTAGACTCGCCACCCATGATTAGACTCGCCACCCAAGATTACACTCGCCACCCAAGATTACACTCGCCACCCAAGATTGACTCGCCACCCAAGATTAGACTCGCCACCCAAGATTACACTCGCCACCCAAGATTAGACTCGCCACCCAAGATTAGACTCGCCACCCAAGATTACACTCGCCACCCAAGATTAGACTCGCCACCCAAGATTAGACTCGCCACCCAAGATTAGACTCGCCCACCCAAGATTAGACTCGCCACCCAAGATTAGACTCGCCACCCAAGATTAGACTCGCCACCCAAGATTACACTCGCCACCCAAGATTACACTCGCCACCCAAGATTACACTCGCCACCCAAGATTACACTCGCCACCCAAGATTACACTCGCCACCCAAGATTACACTCGCCACCCAAGATTACACTCGCCACCCAAGGTTACACTCGCCACCCAAGATTACACTCGCCACCCAAGATTACACTCGCCACCCAAGATTACACTCGCCACCAAGGTTACACTCGCCACCCAAGATTACACTCGCCACCCAAGGTTACACTCGCCACCCAAGATTACACTCGCCACCCAAGGTTACACTCGCCACCCAAGATTACACTCGCCACCCAAGATTACACTCGCCACCCAAGGTTACACTCGCCACCCAAGATTACACTTGCCACCCAAGGTTACACTCGCCACCCAAGATTACACTCGCCACCCAAGGTTACACTCGCCACCCAAGATTACACTCGCCACCCAAGGTTACACTTGCCACCCAAGGTTACACTCGCCACCCAAGATTACACTCGCCACCCAAGATTAGACTCGCCACCCAAGATTACACTTGCCACCCAAGATTACACTCGCCACCCAAGATTACACTCGCCACCCAAGATTAGACTCGCCACCCAAGATTAGACTCGCCACCCAAGATTAGACTCGCCACCCAAGATTAGACTCGCCACCCAAGATTAGACTCGCCACCCAAGATTAGACTCGCCACCCAAGATTACACTCGCCACCCAAGATTAGACTCGCCACCCAAGATTAGACTCGCCACCCAAGATTAGACTCGCCACCCAAGATTACACTCGCCACCCAAGATTACACTCGCCACCCAAGATTACACTTGCCACCCAAGATTACACTCGCCACCCAAGATTACACTCGCCACCCAAGATTACACTCGCCACCCAAGATTACACTCGCCACCCAAGGTTACACTCGCCACCCAAGATTAGACTCGCCACCAAGATTACACTCGCCACCCAAGATTACACTCGCCACCCAAGATTACACTCGCCACCCAAGATTACACTCGCCACCCAAGATTACACTCGCCACCCAAGATTACACTCGCCACCCAAGGTTACACTCGCCACCCAAGATTACACTCGCCACCCAAGATTACACTCGCCACCCAAGATTACACTCGCCACCCAAGATTAGACTCGCCACAAAAACTGAGATTCACTCCTTGGTCACATCATCAATTGCACTTGAGACTAACCCCATCCCCACAACTTTTTTCTTATCTTTTATCAGTTTATACAACAAATCACACATTCTTGAATCTTGGGTTTTGTCTATAATGCAAGTATTCTTGTTCAACATTTCTCTTGTTAGAGTAATGTCATGGGCTTGTCTCATGTGATTCCTAGGGGCACCAGATTGAAGATGGCATGTCAAACGCCTCGTCAGCTTGGTCGACGTCATACCTATGTACTTACATTGAAGGTTACATCCTTCGTGGGGGCAAGTGTACATGTATACAACGCTTGACTGCTGTAGAGGGTTCTCCGTCGGCTTCGGGCTGTTTTTGATAAGGAGTTCGGAAGTCTTCTACCAAGAAGACTTCTTGGTAGAAGACTTCCGAACTCCTTATCAAAAACAGCCCGAAGCCGACGGAGAACCCTCTACAGCAGTCAAGCGTTGTATACATGTACACTTGCCCCCACGAAGGATGTAACCTTCAATGTAAGTACATAGGTATGACGTCGACCAAGCTGACGAGGCGTTTGACATGCCATCTTCAATCTGGTGCCCCTAGGAATCACATGAGACAAGCCCATGACATTACTCTAACAAGAAGACTTCTTGGTAGAAGACTTCCGAACTCCTTATCAAAAACAGCCCGAAGCCGACGGAGAACCCTCTACAGCAGTCAAGCGTTGTATACATGTACACTTGCCCCCACGAAGGATGTAACCTTCAATGTAAGTACATAGGTATGACGTCGACCAAGCTGACGAGGCGTTTGACATGCCATCTTCAATCTGGTGCCCCTAGGAATCACATGAGACAAGCCCATGACATTACTCTAACAAGAGAAATGTTGAACAAGAATACTTGCATAATAGACAAAACCCAAGATTCAAGAAGATTACAAATTCTTGAGGCAATTCACATATATATATATATATATATATATATATATATATATATATATATATATATATATATATATATATATATATATATATATATATATAATGTGTGTGTGTGTGTGTATCACGATAGTAAACACGTGATTAAAAATGTGACAATGTCAGACCACGGAGGAAAAATGAAACAGGAATTTCCTTAAGTACTTTCGTATATTAATACATCTTCAGAAGGAGTGATTTTACAGATCGAGTGATGGGTATAAATAGGCAGGAGAGAATGGTGAAGTGAGGTGAGGTACAATACGTGGACAGCGCAGACGGCCCATTGGCCCATCAGATGCAGCCAATTGGCCCATCTGATGTCGTACAATGGCCCATCTGATACAGCACACATACACAGGCACAATGCATAGATAATTATAGCAATAAAATGGTAAATATATACAATGAATTAGTGAGACAAATGCGTTCCAATGATCCTACTTAAATCGCCCTTTAACTGATCTATTAAAAATATATATCTTCACCGTGGCTTGGTGAACGAAGAGTTGGCCGAGCTAAGTAGAAATTAATATTTGAAGCAGGCGATGAGTCACAATAACGTGGCTGAAGTATGTTGACCAGACCACACACTAGAAATTGAAGGGACGACGACGTTTCGACCTAATATTTGAAAACATGACATTCCAAAATCAAAGAAAATAATGAATAAAAGAGTTCCAGATGCATGATTGTTGAGGCGGAGCTAGGAGTTATTCTCTTGTGCACTATTATTGTACAACAAGTACTATTAGGTATGCACCCAGCAGCAGTAGGATCGAGAACAGCAGCACATGAGGTTGACTGGTCGAAACTGTTTTAACTTGACTCTGAGCGGTGGGGAAGCTTGCATGGGGGATTTATGGTCACATGGTGCATGTAATCTGGAGAGATATAATCACTCGATGCAAGTTATACCAATGTTATAGCTTGCACCGAAAGATATTATAAAGCGTGTGGTGAGGTGAGCTATGTGAGCCGCGGTCACACTCGGTTCCCTGCTACACCAGTCTCCAGTCACAGGTTCATACTGGCCACCGTGTTTCCCGGTTATCTTGAGATGATTTCGGGGCTTTTAGTGTCCCCGCGGCCCGGTCCTCGACCAGGCCTCCACCCCCAGGAAGCAGCCCGTGACAGCTGACTAACACCCAGGTACCTATTTTACTGCTAGGTAACAGGGGCATAGGGTGAAAGAAACTTTGCCCATTGTTTCTCGCCGGCGCCTGGGATCGAACCCAGGACCACAGGATCACAAGTCCAGCGTGCTGTCCGCTCGGCCGACCGGCTCCTTAGGTCACCTCACCGGTGGGTGAGGTGACCACACGGGCTTATTGGGGGACACGATATTAACAACCTTGTTTCTACATTATGGTGGTTCCGGGGATCTATATACTCTTTGCTTTGTGACCAGGCTTCTCGTTTGATGTTTATAGTTGTTATTATTATTATTACAGTTGTTAGAAGCCACTATCATCAGTCTGACGTATGAATCACAGCCCGGTTGATCAGGTATCTTTTGGAGGTGTTTATAAAATAATTTTTTGATCACCATGAAACATCAGCTAGTTATGTTCTTATATCTTTTACCTGATTTACCACAGGGTCACTAACCCTAGTGGCCTCAATGAAGACAGGAAGCCGGCGGCTTATCGAAGGTCCCTCATTTCCCTTGAGAATCTTGTCCAAGTAGCTTTTAAAAACAAAATACAGTTTTAACATTTACCTGCTTCGGCGGGTATGCAGTTCCATTGGTTCATAACCCTTAGGGTGAAAAAGTGTTTTCTGTTCTCTTTATGTTTAGATGGAGAGTGGTGAAATGTCTTGGGCCTGTGATGTTGAGAGACTTGTCTCTTAACGTAACTCCTGTACTTAGCCTTTCACCGGAGCTATTTTGCATTTCCTGCCATACCTCCTGGGTGAGCGGAGCTGAGGGCGTCCTATGGCTGGCTGGTGTGATGTATAGAGAGATGATGAAAACAGGAATGTAGGGAGGTTGTAAACAGACAGGCATGTAGGGAAGCCAGGTTGGCAAGATAGACAGGCAGACAGGAGGGCATCAAGGCACACAGATAGGTAGGTGAGTGTGAATTGAACGATGTTAAATTATTGCATGAGAAGTAACCAAAGAAGACATTTATCTCACCAAACTTGATTATCTTGAGGCAGCTATGGTCCCTGGCCAAGCCTTGCAGTTCCTGTGGAGGTCACAGTAATAGACATTACCAACAATATCACTGTAATACCTTTTTTCAGAGACAAGATGCCTTTCTGCTATAATGTAATTACATACATATAAATTGTTAGAGTAGATTGTAAAAAAACAAAAGCAAGCCTAGAGCTTACTTGTCTAATATAATATCCATGTAAACACAGTAAATATATATTGAAACCATTATTCTTTATTACTTATATCAACCCAACCAGACGAAGATGAAGATCTCAGTCTCCGTGAAGGCAGTCTCCGTGGTGTAGTGGTAAGACACTCGCCTGGCGTTCCGCGAACGCTATGTCATGGGTTCGTATCCTGGCCGGGGAGGATTTACTGGGCGCAATTCCTTAACTGTAGCCTCTGTTTAACGCAACAGTAAAATGTGTACTTGGATGAAAAAACGATTCTTCGCGGCAGGGGATCGTATTCCAGGGACCATAGGATTAAGGACTTGCCCGAAACGCTACGCGTACTAGTGGCTCTACAACCATGTAACAACTCTTGTATATATCTCAAAAAAAAAAAAAAAAAAAAAAAAAAAAAAGATTCTGCATCTCGTTTGGCAGACTGATTCGGAGAGTGAGTCAGAAGCTAGTGAACCTGAAGCAAACTCTCATACCAACCCATCACCCCACCAGCTCCTTATTTCCTCCTCATTCTGATGTTTTCAATGTCTTCAACAACTTATAATTGCGTTATATACGCAATTCGTATAGCATCGCAAATCATGTTCAAGAAAATCCTGCCCTTTATTTAAATAGGTATCATGATTATTTTGTGGGGCAATTAGAATCATTGTTTTATAAATTTCATACAATTTCCCACTTGCCATATTAATTTACCTTGATATTTATATTTATTTATATTTATTTTGTGCTTTCTAATGAAAATTATATATACTATATTAGTTTGGCAAGGAAAGGCAAGGAATATATAACACCTAAAGTCCTTTTGTTCATGCTAGGGGGGACAGCATCAAGTTCTTATCAAGGATTTCAATCAATATGTCCGCATCATGCACCGACATATAAACAGAGCGCCAAATAATCAATTTTTGTATCATTCTTGCTTAATTCATTTACCACCTAATTCTATTCAAGACCATACAGCAACCTGTCCTCAGGGAGGAGATCTGCTCACAGGAATGGATTGGGGACGAATATATAATTTCTGCTATTATCTACTCAATTTATTGTTAGGTTATGTTAAGGTTACTTTATTTTAAGGATTGGTTAGGTTAGATTAGGTTGGGTTTCATTATGTTTGGTCACGGTAATACGCTGTTTATTGACAATAATGTGAAATATGGAATTCGAAATTTCAGTGTGCTGTCGAGTTCCATTTAGAGAAAACCAAATTCTTCAAAGAAAATGTTTTCATCATACATTATATGCTGAAAATACTTTTTATATTTTAAAACAATGATTTATATTACATTAAAATTATAACTTGTGAATATTCTGTTGATGACAAAGGTTCATTTGCCAGCTTACATGTAGATTATTACTGGAATCGTATGCTTTCAGATATTTTTACTTTCATAAACTAACTTTCATCACAAATATTTAGATAACTATCCAGGTGATTTCAAGGCAGATGGGATGTGGTTTCTTATGGTAATGGTTTTGGTCTGAGGACGGGCTACGTAAGGAGTCATGTGAGGTGAAACAAATATTGGAATTTTACCCCACAGATCAATAAGATCACGTTCACAAATTATGGGCGAGCCTTTAGATCCCCTCATTCTGCTCATTATTTTGAATGTTACTTGGACCCTTCCAATCCTCAAGGTATGATCGAGGTGAGACATAAAGCTGCGGCATACTCATATATCATTATCAACAGGGAATGAAAGGTTGTAGAGAAATCTCCGTATTTGGGGACTGAACTCATCGATCGTTTCATAAATACATTGGAGAGCTCATGAAAAAATGAATCTACCTTTCCAAAATATAAAATTTTCATTACTCGTGAGCCTGGCTTGCTATCGCCAGACAACTTGTGAATTTTATTATATGAATTAAAGACAGGCAAGCAAATTTTCTGCCATGATTACATAACATATTTAGATAAATTGAATGAAACTACTCTTCCCTCTCACCAAGCAGGTTATAAAAGTTTGAAGCATGAGAGTGTAAATCAAAAAAGATTATGAACAAGCTAAGGAAAACTTTAGATTGGTGGAATGTAAGGTTATCAAGGAGTATTTAAAGGTATATTTGATAGTTGAAAGATGAAAGTTTTGTGAGATGTTTTTACTGTTTGATGTAAAACTATTCTTGAGCTTCACAAGTTGGCTTTACACATTATGTGTCATTATCAAGTTTCACATGTGATGCTTTCAACCTGAAATGTTAAGTAGTATGGGATGTCATCTCTGATTCCCAACTGTATGATTTATTACACATAAATTTAAGAGTTGGATTTACCTCGGCCGTAAGACAACAGTGTTGAGAATGGACATACAGGTGCTGTTCCAACTAGTCATTGTATTTAGTCATTTTACAAGTACATTTTGTATTTAGATTTTAATAGTATAGATGCCACTTGCATAACAGAAATGCTTTCCGAAGGTAAAATTAGGCAATTACAGCTGTGGAACATTATAATTTGCTCGAACAAGAATTGAAGAATATTGCTTGTAAAGGAGATGAGGGATATTGAATTGTGTGCGATACTAAACATGTGAAACTTGAGGTAACATGATGAATGGATGACATGCATTTAACCCTTCTGCATACAAATATTTCCATCAATCTGGTTTCTGATAACAGCACCGAGCTTTTAAATATTGAACATAGAAAACTTCATGAGAAAATAATAAAGTGATTACATCCCATCAACCCCAAAAAGATTTCTTAGTGAGTTGGATTTATTCCAGCTGCTCATCGAACTAGGATTAGAAGCCTCAAGTGTAAATGCAGTTTATGAATTTCGGGAAAATAGGTATCTCAAAGATTTTGTTTAAACGAACATCTTGTCAAATACAGCTTGTCCCATCACGTCCAAGGCTTTTAAACACGTCAGTAGTGATATTTACAGCAAATCTTTGATGAACGCGAGTACATATCGAGATAAACAATATTTAGTCAAATCTCGTCTTGGGATTATAATCTCAAACATGCCAGTAGTCCCATCTTCAAATACAGTGTGTTACTGAGCAAAGACAGCCATTTGTACTGTAAAGAAAGAATTCCTTAAGTCGATACCTCAACTTACATGGGGTAAGTTGTAAATACCATATATTGCAAATAGCTTAACAGATCCTATATTATTTTTGGTATAACACTGTCAAAGCTCATTATGGTGAGAAAGCTATATTGCGGTAAATAGACACGGATAGAGAACTTCATTTCGAAGGACATCTCATAGAACTGACCTGTCATGATGCTTTTGAAGAAAGGAATAAACTGCCTTTCTGCTAGCATAGTTATTTCAATAATATGCTACTGCAATGAGTCATTTAAAGGTCAACTAGGATTACTGAAATCAGTATTTGGAGCTAAATTCATCAAAGAATGCATCGCTCTAAGTTGTAAAATGTATTCAATCCTTATGCAGACGATCAGGTTTAAATCTGTTGTAAGGGCATTCTCTCCTACCACCAATCCAAACTAACACATGCATCGTTTAAAAATGCCCAAGATTTAAACATTGGGGAATAATTTGAGTCTAGATCCACTTGGAATGTTCGAGGGCAAATGTGCACGTGTTTAACCGTCAAATGAGGATTATCTGTGTTTAACGATAAACAGTATACATAAAGCCCTACACAATCCCTGGATACTGGATATCTTGATATTCCCCATGCAATAAATAACTAAGAGGGGAGAAAGATGTTATAAATCCATATATTTGATTCTAACATTTATCATGATAAACATATATGTCCATTATTTCTTTCCTCAGTTATCATCTCTGATTCCCAACTGTATGATTTATTACACATAAATTTAAGAGTTGGAGTTACCTCGGCCGTAAGACAACAGTGTTGAGAATGGACATACAGGTGCTGTTCCAACTAGTCATTGTATTTAGTCATTTTACAAGTACATTTTGTATTTAGATTTTAATAGTATATGTTACGACCCTGGGTTCTCCAGTGGAAACCAGAGGTCAAAACTGAGCTATTAAACTTTCTGGTAGTACAGTTGGGTGCATCACTAGCGGCAATTGTTTGTATCTTCCCTGCCAGACGTAAGACTATTATTGTTTCTCAAAGAGCATTTAAAGACTGAGCTGGGGGTTGATTATTAAATAATAACATAGGCACCAACTTTGCTTACTAATACTTTCTAATCATTTGTAAAGTAACAATACGTTGCATAGGGGAAGATCTTTAATGTGCTTAGCTGCACGATCAATTAGGCTCCTTCCGGCACCACGACATGGGAGGCCTAGCTGGTCGCTAGGAGGTCCTTCTCTGGCTGGCGTTCCTGCGGACGAGACCTACTCTGTGGCTGCACCCTTAATCTCCTCCCTTCTCCTCTTACTTATTTCCCTTACCTTAAGTTCCTGTACCATTAAGTTAAGTATTGTATGATTTCTAAGTGTACCTACTCTGGTAGTAACGATTGGTGAGACCTGGGGGGTAGTAGTTGCCAGTGTTTTGGCTAACCCTAAGTGTTGTGTTTTGTATTAGGGTACCACGTGGGGTCTCACTACCCTAAGCTGCATCCAGCTTCAGTGCTTATCCAGTAGTACTTTACCCTAGCTTGTTATTAGTGTAAACCTTGTATCCTGCCTATGTGGACCAAGGTTTTTAACGTAAGATAGTGTGGTAAAGTTATTATTATTATTGTTATTGGTGTGAGTGTATATGGGGGTTGTTAAGGGGTTAATAAATAAGTACACGAATTACAGAGTATCCCTTCTCCCTGTGTGGGAGCGCCTTGATCAACCCTTAGACTAACATATATGGTCTAGTAGCAAGTGATTACTACTGTGGATAGTTTATTTTGGGGGCCGGGCCTTTTAGCTCCCCCA